TTTAAAGAAAGTAGTTCCCTTATTTCCCATAAAAGACTCCACTCAGGAGAGAAACCATATAAATGCACCGAGGGCGGAAAGAGCTTCAATGAAGACAGTTCCCTCACTTCGCATAAAAGCCTGCACACAGGAGAGAAATCATATAAATGTACAGAGTGTGGAAAGAGCTTTAAGAACAGTGGTAACCTCACTTCACACCGAAGGATCCATTCAGGGGAAAAACCATATAAATGTATGGAATGTGGCAAAAGCTTCAGGCAGAGCGGTTCTCTTACTTCCCATAAAAGACTCCACACAGGAGAGGAACCATATAAATGCTTGGAGTGTGGAAAGAGTTTCAAATGGAGAGGTCAACTTACTTCACATAAAATGGTTCATACAGAAGAGAGACTGTACAAATGCATGGCATGTGGAGAGTGCTTCAAATGGAGAGGTGAACTTACTTTGCATAAAAGACTTCACATAGGAGAGAAACCATATAAATGCATGGAGTGTGGAAAGAGCTTCAACCATACCGGTACCCTTATTTCCCACAGAAAAATCCATTCAGGGGAAAAACCTTATAAATGCATGGATTGTGGAAAGAGCTTCAAGCGTACCGGTACCCTTGTTTCCCATAGAAGAATCCATTCAGGGGAAAAACCTTATAAATGCATGGATTGTGGAAAAAGTTTTAAGCAGATTAGTGATCTCACTTCCCATAAAAGACTCCACACAGGAGAGGAACCATATAAATGTTTGGAGTGTGGAAAGAGTTTCAAATGGAGAGCTCAGCTTACTTCACATAAAATAATTCATACAGGAGAGAAACCATATAAATGCATGGAGTGTGGAAAGAGTTTCAACCACAACAGTTCCCTTGCTTTACATAAAACAGTCCACACTGGAGAGCAACCATATCAGTGCACTGAATGCGGGAAGTGTTTCAAACAGAGCAGTAAACTTACTTCCCATAAAAGGATCCATACTGGAGAGAAACCATATAAATGTATGGAATGTGACAAAAGCTTCAGCCAGAGCAGTTCTCTTACTTACCATAAACGGATCCACACTGGAGAGGAACCATACAAATGCACGGAGTGTGGAAAGAGTTTCAAACAGAGCAGCAGCCTTGTTTTCCATAAAAGGCTCCACACTGGGGAAAAACCATATAAATGTTCGGAGTGTGGAAAGAGCTTCAGCAAAAGCAGTAATCTTACTTCCCATAAAAGGATCCATACAGGAGAACGACCCTATAAATGTACAGAATGTGGCAAAGAGTTCAGTCACAGCAGTAGTCTTATTTCCCATAAAAGGCTTCATACTGTGGAGCAACCATATAAATGTTCGGAGTGTGGAAAGAGTTTCAGCAAGAGTAGTAACCTAATTTCCCATAAAAAGCTCCATACAAGAAAGAAATAATATAAATGTGTGAAGCAGTGAAAGAGTTTCAGAGTCATGACTTGGTTTGCATAGAATGATTGCACAAGAAGGATAATTGATGGATATAAGAGTTTTAGGTTGAGTAGTGAGCTCATAACATGTAAGCATATTCACAACATGTATTCTACATAAATGGAATACAAATAGTCCTCTAGTTACAATCACAATGGAACCCAACATTTCTATTGCTTAGTGAGACATTTGTGAAGTGAATTTTGCTCTATTTTACGACCTTTCTTGCCACATTTGTTAAGCGAATCACTGCAGTTGTTAATTTAGTAACATGCTTATTAAGTGAATTTAGTTTCCCCATTGACTTTGCTTGTCAGAAGGTCGCAAAAGGTGATCACGTGATCCCGGGACACTGCAACCATCATAAATATGAGTCAATTGCCAAGCACCTGGATTTTGACCACATGACCATGGGAATTCCATAATGGTCATAAGTCACTTTTTTCAGTGCCATTGTAACTGAATGGTCACTAAATGAATTGTTGCAAGTGGAGGATTACCTGTATAGAAAAAGTCCTTATGGGTGAAATTAGAAATGCGTCACTTGATGAATGTTTGTGAATCTTATTTTCCTCATAAAGGATCCTTACAGGAACGAATTAGAACTCATTGTGGAGATAGAATGAAATAAATGAAATAAATAAATGAAATAGCATGATTAAAGGTCTGGAGACAAAAATATATGAAGAACGATTGCAGGAATTGGGCTAGTCTAGAGAAAAGGAGTAGGGGAGACATGATAGCAGCATCCCAGTATTTAAGGGGCTGCCACAAAGAAGAGAGGGGTCAACTTATTTTCCAAAGCACCAGAAAGCAGAGAGGAAACAATGGATGGAAACTAATCTTGGAGAGAAGCTTCCACTTTGCCAGGCTCAAAGGTATAACCTCCATATGGATGAGGTTAAGAGCAATTAAGATGATTAGTGGCCTAGAGAAAAAAAAATATGAAGAAAGGTTGCAGGAATTAGAGAGCTGGGGTGTCAATGGTTAATGCAAAAGATTTTGGAGGGGTCCTACTGGATGTCCCCATGGAAGACTGACTTCATGGATGACTTGGTCTCTGTACCTTGATGTAGAATAGAATAGAGCTGGAAGGGACCTAGGTGGTCTTCTAGTCCAGCCCCCTGATTAAGCAGGAGAACCTATACCAGGGGTAGGCAACCTTGGCTCTTTTATGACTCATGGACTTCAACTCCCAGAATTCCTGAGCCAGCAGGAATTCTGGGAGTTGAAGTTCATGAGTCATAAAAGAGCCAAGGTTGCCTACCCCTGACCTATACCATCTCAGACAAGGTGGATATGGATGGGTTTGGGTTGGTTTTGTTCTTAGACTATTGGGGAGAAGAGATCCACTGTTAACCTGCCACCAACCGGGCATTGGGCTTTGCACAAGGAGCTAAACCCTCGGACTGCTTTAAGCAATCTTGGTGATTGTGTTCTTATACAAATGAAGCAGAGCATGGTACTGTATGAAGAGGATGGAAGACTCAGTTTACAGGCCAAATCTCAGCTTGGCTTTAGCCCCAAGGTCAAGCTTAGTTGATGTCAAAAGAGCGAACCAGAGTTGGATTGGGATAGTATTTATTTTATTTACTTATTTTTATTTATTCAGTTTATATGCCACCCACCTCACTATCAAGTGACTCTGGGTGGCTTCGTAGGAATAACATCCAGGAAATCCACAGCTATAAGCAACTCATTTTGTGATTGCTGAATTTGGTGAGTTTTGTTGACTGCAAGGTGGGTTTTGCCTTATTCCAGAGTGCTCCAGAAAAAAAAGTAAAGTATTAACAAATCAAGAGTTCTTCAGTACCTACAGTACTATATGCAGGAAAATCTAGGAGCCTTCACAGGCCGTTACTTCTGCGACCAACTATTTCTGTGTTACATTTAAATTTACCGACAAAGAGTTAAAGAGAGATTGGTATAGATCAGGAGTAGTCAACCTGGGCTCTTTTATGACTCGTGGACTTCAACTCCCAGAATTCCTGAGCCAGCACAGCCCAGGTTGACTACCCCTGGTATAGATATTTTGAGCTTTTTTGAATCTTAGAAGGGTATGGCTAGCTAGCTGATGAGAGCCAAAAAGCTCGGAATAGCTATACTAGTCTCCCTTTAACTCTTTGTCGGTAAATTTAAATTTAACAAAGATTTTCTTGGATTACCTCCCTATGCTCTCCAAGGAATCCAGTGTCTAGCAGGCTCCGCAGGAATTGTGCAAGAGGCACTTCCA